CAGATGTTCCAGTGAATCATCACTTCATAATGACACCTATTACATTATACTTATTGAATTATTTTCTTATAATAAATGTTTGGTAGTTGCTGAACAATCTTAAATTTATGAAGGGGTCAATGAGCTGAAGAATTTTCAATCTGTCCTCCCAGATTGGAAAAGGGGCAGCTTGCAGCCACAAAAGTAATAACCCATCCTTATGTTATAAACCTGATTATTCTCCAGAATTAGTACTACTGTAAGATCCCCTGGAATATTCACTTCTTTGTAAAGTATCCAATTCCCTACTTAAACATAAAAATGTTTCTATTATTCTGGGATTCCCCTTCCACTTTAACTATCAATGCGGATTAGGGCAGAAGGGAATAATTTCTTTTAATCCTATGAATTGAATAGGTTAGTCAAGCTCCAGATGGGTTAAATTTAACCCCAAACAGATCCAGTCATGGGCAGGGTTAAACGAACTTCACTTCATTCCATCTTTTGTGAGAATACCTATAGGGAGATATAAATTCATTTTGCCTCTTTAATCTTCCAAAAAAAATAGCGGAGGGGAAATATTTCCCAAAAAAGCAAGTCTCTGCAATACATTTCTCATTGTTGCTAAGGCCAGACAGCACAGAAACACTTCCCAGTCACCGATTGGTTGCACTGTCAAGACCTGAACACTTTTATCTGCCTGGCCAATGGGAAAAGAGTCGAATGAGGAAGCTTTGCCAGGACTTCAGTGATGCATGGATTCATTTGATGCCAGACATCTCCTGGATGGAATTTTATTCTATATTTCCAAAATGATTGCTTTAGACTTCATTATGGTGCATGTATGCTTCTGTTCTCTCTTACTATCTCCAAATAATTGAGGGTTTTTTTGTCTTTCTTATCAACAATTCTTAAATCTAGGGTATTATTACAGCGGTCCCTAACCTTTCTAGCTTTGGAGCCAGCCCAATGCTGATGAAAGCATGTGAGTGCCAGGTGCATGTGTGTGCACACAGCTCCATTTGTGTGAGTGGCGCATGCCCTCCACTCACACGAATGGAGCTTCGTGCGTGAGCGGAGAGTGTTTGTACTTGCACATGATGCTTCACTTGTGCAAGTGGCAGATACTTGTGCTTGCACATGAAGTTCCACTCACGTGAGCAGTGCATGCTTGTGCACGCGTATGAAGCTCCATTCATGGTGGAGCTTCAAGCACATATTTGTCCATTTCTTCCACAACCCAATTTAAACAGGCCGCAGCCCAGTAGTGGGCTACAGCCTGGGGTTGGGAATCCTTGTATTATTATACACACAGAAATGTGAAATCACAGCTGCCAGTTCTTCAGCTAGTATTGGACTTCATATGCATTGAGTTCGTCCCAAGAATCTAGGACGTTGCAGCATATTGGCATAGTATATGCAGATCCAAGCACTCTAGATTTGTTGTGGCCCGCCAGCAGAACTGGTGGCAGACTCAGACAGTGAGGAGGTTGGTGAGGAACATGGGCCAGTCCTGGAGTCTGGGGAAGGCTCTGATGAGGGCTCTGCGTCGGAGGCAGAGACGGTGCCAAGGCCATCTGGCAGTTAAAGAGCCGAGGTGGCACAGTGGTTAGGGTGCAGTACTGCAAGCCACTTCAGCTGACTGTTATCTGCAGTTCAGCGGTTCTAATCCCACCAGCTGAAGGTTGACTCAGCCTTCCATCCTTCCGAGGTGGGTGAAATGAGGACCCAGACTGTGGGGGCGATATGCTGACTCTGTAAATCGCTTAGAGAGGGCTGAAAGCCCTATGAAGCGGTATATAAGTCTAACTGCTATTGCTATTGCTATTATCAGCTGCCTTCAGAGTCAGACATCAGTGAGGCAGACGAACAGCTGGAGCCTGTTCCCAGTGGGCACATGTGCATAGTTGCCAGACGAAAGGAACAGCTAAAGGACGGGGGTCAACTTGGGAGTAAGGCAAGAGGTGGATGATGAATGGCCCCTCC